GGCGAGGCGGGAGCCGGCCCGGCCTTTTGCGAGGCTGGCAGCCCGCTGGCGCGGAGCTGCGGGCCTCCTCGCCCTCCTCTGCCCCGGCGTGGGCCGTGGAGGCGGTGGGTTGGTGGAGCCCCACGGCGACAGGCACCGGTGGCTCGGGGCGCCCCCGTCCCGTCGCCCTGTCCCCCGGGCACCGTGCTCGTGGGGAAGGGGGGACCCGGCTGAGGCATATGGGCTGCCGAAGCATCGGCCTTACCCAAACAAACCCCAAACGACCCATCGGGGTGAAAACTGGTCTGTCACACGTTTGCGTGTTTCACCCCTGGTGAAACCGGGGTGGGAGAGTGGGGAACCATCAGCCCCAGTTAGACTGGCTTGCGCTGGGTGGGACCGCACTATCCATGAATCCCTTGGTGGCAGGGGCGTACTGGCACGGTAGGGCACTGTTGAGGATATCCTCAGAAACACACCTGCTAGCTTCTTTAGTCAAATGCTCTCCTCTACTACTCTGTTTGCCATGAAGATGGAAGTTATTTCCTTGTGATCCGAGTATTGCAGGCTGTTTCTTATGGTGAATTTTCCGGAAGAAGTCCAGAGGGTTTGCACTTGTTCCCCAAGAGAAAGTCAGCTGAAGGGATGCTCTCCGAGAGATCTTCCAGCGTTCTTCAGGACTATTCCAGTTACGGGCTGTCACCGCAGTGGCTACCAGTTCAGTTGCCATTCAGAGTAACTAGACTGCTGGCCACATACAGCATAGTCATGAGACGCTATAATCTCATAATTTCATTCACTCACCAGACAGGATGATGCAAGTTCAGTTACTCGTAGTTTCCTGATGGTCTTTAGAGCAGGGCAAGCTATTACTACAAACCTTGGCACAGGGATGAAAAGAAGTTCTGTTCCAGATCTGTATCTCAGAAGAAAACAACAATCATCGTAAAGTAAAAGAAGGTATTTTTAATAACTGCCCTTATCTGGATGGATATTTACGAGGAGTCCAGCAGGATCCCAATGCTTTAAACTGCCTTGGCAGTCTCAGCAGTCTGTTTCACGTAATGACTTTTCTTCAGAGTGAAAAGTCTTCAGGCTTCTCATTCTGAGCTCGCTTCATTGAGAAGTAAGGTCACTAAACGCTCGCAGACGGCCCAGTTTGAGAGTCGAAGTATAACTTTTGTTCCCTTCCTCCCAGCATCGCTTGTGTCTGGTGAGAGCTGCACCCTTGCTTTATCCTGACTTCGGAGCAGTGCGATATCTTTGTAAGAAAGCTCCTCTTGCATAGTAGTATTGTAAGCTGCTCTTACAAGCCTTATCAATGAGTTTCTACTGAATAGAGTAGTTGTCAGTAGAGGAACTCTGTGGTTCCAGGAAGGAGAAGAAAGGGGAAGAGAAGATCAAAGGATTACAGGGAGATATTTCCTAGGGAGGAGCAGAACCTTTTCAGTATGCATATCTGCTTCTTATAGATATAGCAGGTAAATGAATAACAATTTCAGTCTATAGGGTAGAAGTTGCAAGTAAGAAGCACAGGGCAAGATACCTACCTGTAGCTCTGCAGAGACATAACAGCATGGCTTTATGCTGTTGCCTTCACAAGTGCCAGCCCAAGATGGGATGAACAAGTGTGTTGCTGCAGTTGGCCAGGTGCTGCTAACACTGGCAAGGTCTGTACTCATCAACACAGGGAGGCTGGGGAGAAGCTGGTTACAGTGAGCTTGCTGACACTGAGAAAGATTTTTCCGAATCTAAGCTAGTTCAGTCCATGGATTTAATGGCTGGTGTAAAACACAATTATTTGCCTCCTGTGTCCAGGGGCACCTACGTCTGCTCAGGTCTTTATGGTATTCCTGGAAGTGCAGGAAGCTTGGTGCAAAGATTGGCCCTTGTTCATTCAGGTGCCTACTCACGCAGGAGCCCTCTGAACTGTCAGCAGTGCCTTCCCTGCTAAATGTCCCTGTCTGTGGAACTTGATCTGATCCAACTTTGAACAAGGTTCAAGTGGGATGCCAGATGCATTTACTTGAATTAGGGTGGGTTTTTGTATGAGTGACAAATGAAAAGAGGGTTGTGCTACTGATGCTTGCAGAAATGTTAATACTGTTGTGGTGCCTCTTGCGGGTGGCATATTGCTGTGATGGTGATACACTTTCTTCAATCGTTACTTTTAAATGCCCTTTCTATATGTCCTGTGTATCATATAGGTGGGGCAGTAGGGAAGGGGTGTACATTTGAGTTCAAGCATGTTTGTGCTTTTTGTCTTAGCCACCACCTTTCCCCCTTTACGAAGGCGGGCAGCGCCACTGAGTTGTGCAGTTACCCTGTCCTGTTTGGTTGTGTTTTCGCTGGTGCTAGTTAAAAACTACAGTGGCCTCAACCCTTTGTAAGAGAGCTTATTTGTAGGAAAAGCAAAGAAATAATTGAGTTCTGACTTTTGTTTCTGACACTGACTTTGATGGTAATCTGTTTTGGTGTATGCATCTTGGTGTATGTATTTTTAACCCACCCCAAAACCAGGCTAATCCCCAGCACAATGGTGGCCGTGAGAAGCTGAATCTCTTTAACAATGCAAACTTGTGAGGTTCCAGACGGAAGTGTATTGCAATGCCCTGAGTACTGCTGCTGTCCCTGGGTTTCCCCTCAGCCCCCTGTCCCTCCTCCCCCTCTGCTTTTTTTAAGAAGAAGTATTTACAGGGAATGGCAACAATTGCCCAGAAGTTTTGCTTGTTTAATGTTCTCCTTCCTCCCCGGACGGAAACTGTAACTCTTCCCATAGCTTCCCTCTCTAGCTTCCTTTCGCTTTCTTGAGCTGTTTGCTTACTGTTACTTTCCAAACCCCTTGGTACTCCTGTCTCCGTGGTGACAAGGGGTGGGGTATCTGCTCCGCATGTGATGCTGACAGGCACAAATGTGAGCTAATACACCCCGGCAGCCTGGGCCAAGCCGCCCTGCGCCTGGCTTCCAGCACTGGGAGAGCTTGCGGCCGTCGCCTAGGGTGCCCGCACCCACGCCTCCTGGCAATCCAGCTTGCCTCAAATTCTCCCTGTGAAATGCATGTCGGCTTGTACCACAGTGGGTCTTCACAGGGGGTATGGTTTGTTATAAAATAAGGGGATGGGGAGAGGAAAAAGGTCAGTGCTTATAAAAGGGGCTGGTGGCTAGAAGGACCTTCTTACCTGTTCTCACTTCATGATACATTACATATGTAGTCTTTCCTGCCTCATGTAGTTGCATACTTTGTCCATCTTCTGGGTTTTTTAAAGTATGGCCTACCATGGTTCTAGAAATCTTTGTCAAAAAAAGCCCCCAACCAAAAAACCCCTAAAACCCCCAAAACTATTTGGAGCAGCAGTCTGTGGACCTTTTGGCTGACATGTTTTCTGGAGACTGGGGTGTGGGTGTGTGGGGGTGTGTGTTTCTGTGTTTTGTTCCCACTCTACAATTTTTTTTTTCACCCCATCCAGATTAGCAAGGCATCTACAAAAAGAGGCACAGTCTCAGCACAACAACTCGGAATTCACAGAAGATCAAAAGGTGGGTATTGCTGTTTGCTCAGGCAAGGAGCTTGACTCGTAGATGTTGATGTGTATTATGGGTTTTTTTTTTATCTCACAGTCCAGAGCCTTATGAGACCTTTTTTCCTCCCTCAATATACGCAAACAGAAACAGAGCCCAGCGTGGCTAAAACAGTTGCTGTCATTAGATGTGACAGGTGCTCTGCTGTGTAATATTGAATGTCATGCATGCTGACCAGAGTCCTTCATAACCTGGGTGTTTCTATTTTTTGGGTGACCTTTTGATAACTTGCTTGTACAACGTTAGCACAATTTATGTTTTGAAGTCTGAATACAAAATGTCTTAAACTGCAGATATTGAGGATCTGTGGGGGAGATGTTAGCTTAACATGTAACACCTGACTGGGAAGGGTCCTGGCAGACTACTCCCTAGTAGTCTCTTAGAATGTTATTTGTTTATAGTCTTTCAAAATACTGAAATTACTTTATTCCTTCTTCCCTCCCCTCAGCTGAAAAGGCTGTTTTTTGTCTCAGGATTGTATTAATGCAGTTCTGTGACAGGGTTTGAGAGGAAAATGCTATCTGAAGTCTTGTATGCTCAAGCATTTTCAGCAAAATACAATCTTTTGAGATATGAGACCCTGCTAAATTTTCATGTCTTGTATAAAGGCATGTTTTTCTCAGGAATACCAAGTTAGAGAAACCCTGTATTTCCAGATTTCCAAGTCATAAGATCACTTCTTTGAGCAATGGTATTGCCTGAAAATTGACATTTACTAGGTTTGTAACTGTTTCCTTGACATGTACCAATAAGAAAAGCAAAGAGCTGGTCTTCCATGTACTGTTTACCTTCTGCAAAGAAGAAAAGGCTCATGATCATCTTAAACTGAGTCATATTCTTGGAGAAGGATTTGGTCCACCTTTCCTGAACTGAAGGCTTGGGAGCCTTGTTAATGTTGGACAGCTGTTTACTCTTTGATTGCTTCTGCTCTCTGTCCCTTGCTGGTAGCATTCTCCATCATTCTCAGCTATAGTCATCTTTACTGTGTGTTTCCCCTCTGTGGATACTCTTGAAAATATGGTTACTTCATGAAGATGAAGCTGTTAATCTCACTTCTGGAGGCATCATCTCCTGTGAGTATGGGAACCAGAACCACACAGGGCTTTGCTTCCAGATGTTCCCTGAATCCTGTGGAAAGGACCTTGGACCAGACTGTGGAAGTGAGTGAGGTCAGCCATGAGGGAAGGCCTGGGGGGCTCAGGAAGCAGAGATAACTGACCTCAGATGTTAGATGCGCAACTGTGATCATGTCTTAAGGAGACAGTCTTCTGAAAAGAAAACAATAAGGAGTGGCTGTTTTTGAATCCTTGCAGAGTGATACCTGTTTCTAAAGCTGATATAACTTACAAAAGAGGTTGACATTTATATCACTTGCTTTTTTTTTTTGCTTTTTTTTTTTTTCAGATCAGTAAGGGCTGATGCACTGAAACTTTAAGCCTGGTTATCAGATGGTGGTGCCTATTTCATTAGCCACATACACAGCCAAATTCCCCAATGTTTTGTTGAGAGAACATTCTTTTTCCTTCCTCTACCATGACAAATGCTAGACACAAAAATAAAGAGTCTTGCTATTGCTTTGAAAGAAACACTTAAAAATCCATACAGCAAAATCTTTTAGTCTGATGTTAACCTCCTTGCTGTTCTGGTCTTCCCTATTTCTGCAGGAGCTCAGCCAGTATAATCTAGTGTTCCTGACCAATTACTGTCATCGCTAGTATCATTCACTTGGTGTGTAGGAGTAGAGTTTAGTGTGCTTCTGGGTTTTCAAGCAGTTTGGTTAAATAGAAGTGTATCTTCTCTCTTGCTACCCTTCAAAAAATCTGTATACCAAAACAGCTACTTTTGCTCAAGTAAGTTCCTGCCAATGCATCCACCAGCATGCTATTTCTTCCTGGTTCTGGAAAGTCTCTTTCCCTAATATCTTGTTTTTCTGAGGTTCTGTATGTCATATAAGAGCCACTTCTTTATTTTTCTGAATGTAGAAAAGTGTGTAAACTTCAGGGTTTGCTTATCTGATATTACTGGCCAAGGCTGCACATAGAATTGCATAGATTGGAGAAGACAAGGCTGTGAAGCAAATTATGATTTCCAGTTGCTTGATCTATCCTCATTCTAGTCTTTGTATAGATTTACAGTTAGCTGTTTTCCAAAGGACCATACGTACTGCTGGGAATTACTGTGAGGCTGTCGTTGTTTCTTACTTGACATACTTTGTGGGGAAGATGGATTTCAGCAGTGATTCCTTTGTACCAAGGGAAAACTACTAGCTTTACAGCTACAGGGAAAGGACAAGGCTAGGTTCAAATCCTCAGCCCCATCTGTCTGTATAAACTCTTACCATGTTTGGGTTTATTTCATTCATCACAGGTGGTGTTACAGTGCAGATATGGCCACACCATAATTGATGGTGTGTTACTTGCTAATGTAATCATACAATCTGTTAATCTAACAACACTTGACAGATACCACCAATTTCTTTCCTAGGCATACTGTGAGCCAATTATCATTTTATCTTATGATAAATGTATTGTTTATGGTAAGAATTCAGACTTTTAAATATTTGTATCTTGCCTTTTTGCTTTTGATCTGAAGAGTCTGTTTTGAAACACTGTATGCTACTGCCTTTGATAGAGCAGACTAGTCTCCAGAATTTGCTTTTCATTCCTGCATTTTCGACTTCTGGGTGGTTGTCATCTTATATCTACTGCTGGACATAATTCTGGAGTTTTAGTTCTTAGGGAAGGCTCTGTCTTGACTTGGATAATTGACAGTGCTGGAATCTTCATTAGTAATTGTGAATTTTGTTGAAGAATTTCTCTGCAGATAAATACTGTAAACAACAAATCATTGTGTTTAAATCTAGTCACCCTGCAACAGCTTTAAGGAGGCTGTGCAACAATTTTATCACCTAGAAGCTGCATGTATGGATTACTAACAGATGCAGTTACTGGTGGATTTACCTTGGTCTTAACATCTGCATCCTGCTGTTCTTTATTTTACGTTCATTCTCTAAAAAAAATCCCATCTTCATTCATGAACAACCACTGTGTTTTGCTACATGAATTGTTCCAGTTAGGTTTGGTAATGGTTGTCAGCTTGCCTCCAGCTATAGTTACTCTCACCCAGTTCTCTGTGCAATAAATTTGACCTTTAAAGCCCTCTTGTAACCGCAGTTGTTGCTTCTCATGTAACTGTTTTTGTGCTAGGCTGAGTTTTCTTCAGTATTAGAAAATCATGCTTTTTTATGCAATTGGAACTTGCTGAAATAAGAGCACTGTTGAACAGTCTTAGCATGATTCATTAAACTACTGGTCTCCTAACAGCCTAGACCTCTCTTTAAAGCCAAACTCTGCTCTGGCTCTGTATTTATGCAAACATCTTTAACTGCATTACAGTTAGCACAGTCATTACTCACACAACTGCACTGAAGAAACCTTGACTACAAGATCAACTGACTTTTTTCCTTTCTAATCACGAGTTTACATAAAACTGAATCTTAACTATTTCAAACTAGTGAAGTTAATTATGGCTTCAGTCTTTCTAATGAGATGCAGAATGTTTTCTCTGCTGCAAAAAGGAGCCTTTGCATGGGATAGTTGCAGCTGAAAATGATAGCGGTGTTTAGCTGCATTTTTAACTTTTGGGTTGGGTGTGGTCCCTTAAAAAAATAGTTATGAATAATGCCTGCTGGGAGCTTGCCATATTTCAATAGATTCCATATAAAACCTATTCTTTACTATTTTAAGACTCCCAAACTCTCTTCAATTAATCTGTTTCTAGAGCCATTATTGCCCTTCAGCCTCCAGGAGCCAGAGGACACACATTTTGTATTGTTGTTTGTCCTGTTAGGAGGTACCTAGTTCAGGCAGTTTTAAGAATATACAGTTACGAATCTGCAGGATAGGGAACAGGGGTGTTGCTGAGCTTATTGGTGAACTGACAAAGGGGATGGGCATTGAGCAGTGCTTCTTGAGACATCCTTTACAGTGTGGACTTAATGCTCTACATGTGAGACCGGGAGGATAAGAGCCATGTGAAAATCTGTTTACGTGTTCTGATTCTGCGGTGGGGCATGGAGACTGTGTGCTGGCACCCTGTGAACTCGTAGCCCTCTTTCTGTGGTGCATTTGGAGGGGTTTTGATGTAACACAGCATAGGCATGCTCTTTGCTCAGCAGTCAACACCCAAACTGTTGAACAGCTGGGTTTTTGCAAATGTTAGAGCTGTAGTCAAACCTCAGAGATTTCCCCTCCCTTCCCTAGGGAACCTCTGGATTCCTTTCTTTTACCCATTACTTCACACCTTCCTCTTTAAGATTCTACCTTTGCAAATGTATCTTTCCAGATGTTCTCAAATATAAAAAGGAATTCCTTTTGTTGCACTGCAGCCGATGAGATGGATGTAGTGAATTCTCACCCGAGGGACTGAGAATCTGTTTCTGTAGTACTACCTGGTGTCCTCCCATCCAGCCTGAAGGTATATGTAAATCCACAACACCCATGTGTGGAGTGCAGGTCTGAAAGTGTCAAACTTAATCCAGGACTGTATGTACTCCTTTCTTTTTAAAAAAACTGTGTTTTTCCAAGCTATGCTGGACATCCAGCTGTGGATCTCTGTTAATGTAGCAAAATTTATTTCAGGGAGGTAGAAGTTTGTTGACTGAACCTAGACTACAAAACAAACCTCCACAGAAATAGAGCTGTAATGTTTTTACTCTGCCATGTTGCATGCAAGCATGCAGTGATGTTGCTCTATATTAAAATTCCCAAACAGCACACCACTACATATGCTGCATCCTGGGCAGAGGAGAAAACAATGTGTGTCCTGTGCTAATATGCATCACTTGCTACTTTCCTAGAAGGTGCTGAAAAGAATTTTTCTAAGACCTCCATACAATGGACAGTAATATAAACTACAAGGATGTAAAGTCTGGGCTAATGCCATGTTGTAAAAGAGTGTTTAAGACAAGAGGAGACACCAGTTGGGGAGAAATGGCTTTGAAAGCTTTGATAAGCCCGTGGTAGCAGATGAAAATCAGGTATCTGAGGCTTTTACACACTCCAGCTGTTAGCTATGCCCTTGAGGTATTGATGTCTAATCTGCTTATGATTCAGCTCCTGAACTCTTTCAACTTTCAGCCTGGCATAAGGTGAACTGAAACTGAAGCCACTTTGCTTTTAGCCCAGCTAGACTTGGCCCAGGAACTGATTGAGAAGGAGTAGTAACATCCCTTAGCAGGAGAGTCAGGGCAGATGACTAGGGGGAGGTAGCTGTGAAAGCATGTCTAGTTTTTGTCTGCTGCTACAAACCTCTTGGAGCCTAAAATGTAACCCTCCTTTAAAGGGTCGTTTTGGCCTTTGACTGATACTGTGTAACTTGCCAGATGCCCATACTCTTGAAGTTCATTGATGCTGGAGTTGTGCTCTAGGAAGTATTTTCCTCCCCTTGCATCCAGCTTGGAGGGGAGCTGGTTTTATACTGCCTGATTTAAACGGAGAGAATGGGTTACAGGTGCATATTTCAACTTTTATCTTCCTTCTGGGGGGAAAACTTACTTTGAAAGTAAACTGATTTTCTTTGTAGCTTCACTGTTGCTGTTTTTCTTGCCCTATGAGTGCTCCACAGAGCATTTTGAATTCTATTTGGCGCTTATCTCTGCAGTAGTCTTAGTTTTTCTTCACTAAAACCTTTTAGTTAATGAACAAACTTGTGATGGTTAGGCAATGTAAAATATACTGTCCAGTTGTATCCACTTGACATCAGTTATGGAATTCTTAACTCCTTTCAGCTGGTAGTAATAGAAACAAATGTGACTGTTGCTGGAGCTTCTTACTTTGTGAGACATAAAAGCTTAAGTAGCCCTGTCTTCAAATTAAGACTGCTAGCAATGGGCTATTTTGAAGCCCTTCCCTCTTTTCTACATTTTTAAATGAAAATGAGAAATTACTTCATAGTTCTGCTCAGGGATATCCTAGATAGCTGACAAGTTTGAATCAAAGACTATATTTCATGCTTCACTCAGAGTTTAAATGTCTTAAAATTACAAAAATAATAAGTTAGAAAAATAATCCGCCTTTATACTTCCTCTCCCACCAAAACCCACAAAAGCGGACTGTGTTTTTTTCAGTGCTGAGATACTGGGCTTCTGTAACTTCTGAGGAAGGTTGACTTGGTCTGCTGAGATTGTAAACCCACCAGAGGAACTGTAGGCATGACTCCTAAAAGGGCAACTTAGAACAAACCACATAAGTTCTCAGAAGGCAATACACTGGTTGGTTTGGTGTTTGGGTTTTGGTTTTTTTTTTCCTCTCCCCTATCACTTCAGAGCAGTTGAGTTTATAAACAATTTATGATGTGGCAGGCATTATTACACTTTCTGCTGAGTGAATGACCCCCATCTGTGTTGATGAGCTGTGGGAGGGGAGTTAAGTGGCAGATGTCTGTTTCATCTATTGTGCGTTCAGAAAATCTTGCTTCTGTATAAAAAAGCTTTTGATTCTGAATGATCTGGTACTGAATAATAGATCCGAAGTCTTTGCAAGAAGAAACAATTGTTTGTATTTATATTTTTAAAAAATGTGAATATGGAAGAATACAGTTTCAGTACTAAATTAAGTAATTTTTTTTTTTTTTCCTTTCAGAAAACCATAGCTAAAATTGCAACATGCTTGGAACTGAGAAGTGCAGCTTTACAGGTATAGCTCTTTTTCCCATGTGACTTCATACTTTAGTGATAGGTAACTGTAGAGCTTTTTAAAGCTAGTTTAGTGTCTTCAGCCATAGCCAAAATTTCTGAAAACAGAGTGAACAAACCTTGAACGCTTGGACTTTCCAGGCTGTCAACATGATGCCCCAGGTGGCTGCCTTAAAAACCTTTAAGTGATTATATGAGCATGTATTAGGGTTTGTACAGGAATTTACTTGCACATTTTGTGTCTTTGGTTCTTTGCTTCATTTTCCTCCTTCAGAACTGATGAGTTTGTCTTCATAACCTGTGTGCAAGGGTAAAAAGATCCCTGGAGTGACCCTTGCACTAATTCAGCCGCTCCACAAATCATAATAGAGCACGAGGAAGAATGTGTGTGTAGAATAAAAATTATTTTGTAGAACTCATGAAAACTGGCAGTGCTGTAAGCAAATGTGTGAAAATAATGATTTAGAAGCTACTCTTTGGGCTTTTTTCTGGACTGGAAGTTGATGTCATAGAAGTGAATTTCTTTTACTCTCAGCACAATCTTATCCCCAAAACAAAAGTGAAGTGAGAGAAATGTCCAAAAGAGTGTGGATGGGGGAGGGATGAATCAACTGAAGCAAAGTTTCAGTTACTGGATTACCTGTTTACCAACAAAGAGTGGTGACAGGCAAATTTTGCATCAAGTTACTTACAGCAGCGCTCCTGAGTACTTCATGTTGCTGTACAAGGTGCAGCATCTCCATTGTGCTGCCTTCAGTTGTCTGAGAGGCTGGGATACAGTGGCAATTTAGGCAGCATGCTGGAGCTGGACTAATGAGGTGGGGGCTGACCAGTCTTGAGTCTGTGCAGCGTTTGAAGAATTACTTGGCTAGCCCTACCTGTCTGTCTATTTTGATCTAACCTGGGCTGTTGGAACAGCATTGCACTTGTTCCGAGTCACTCTGACATTATTACAAGGGCAGGTGTGGGACAGCTTCATGGGTCAGGTCATGTCTCAGAGCAATAGCAGAAGATGCAGCAATGTCATAACCTGCCAAACTGAAGAGATGATGTCTTGCAAGAACAGCCTTCCTTGCTGTTAGTTCCTCAGCAGTAACTCAAGGATTTTATAATCTCATGTGAGGGTAGTAGAACTTCTCATCCACTTCACTTTGGGGAGCATTTTACTTGCTGCAGTTTTGTTATGGTTTCTTAGAAGACAGTAAAGCAGTTACTAAGTGTGGTAATCTTTTCCCTTTCTTCTAACAGTATGGGTATAGCTGCTTTACTGTCCTTCTGTAGTCTTGCGGGAGGTCCCTGTTGACACTTGGGCAAAATCAAGAAAAAAACCAAAACCCACCAGGACTTAAAGAAATGTTGAAAACAATGAGTAATCTTAAGAGATGCCAAGGGTGCAATGACACAATAGGCAAGACCTGATCCTCTGCCTAAAAGAGGACGTTCAGTGTCAATCCTCTTATTTGCACTACTTCCCTTATGCCAGCTCTGCCACTTGTCTTCTTGGAATAGGCTAGTTCAGCTTACCAAACTGTTGGTGAACTACCCCAGAATAAAAAATAAAAAACTTTACTGTTGAGTTAGTAAATATAATAGGCTTACTGAGAAGCAGACATGTGCTACAGACAGATGAGGCAACTGCATCTTCAGAGTTGGAGAAAGCAGAGGTGGGAATCCCTCTTCCATGTGCAGTGGGCTCTTAGCTGAGTGTTTTGTCAAGCTCATCCTGTATACTGTAATTTCTGCCAGTGTTACAATGTTGGATGTGTGTCTTGAACTGTGAATGCTCCTGTTGGAGTATCACTTTGCAGTACAGTCTTACAGCTGATCTTGCTTCAGAACAACTTGATTGGAGAAGAATTAAAACAAGTCCCTCTGTCTTAATGTTCCTGTGTGTAGTAAGTATGAAAGAGCAACTAGTTGCTTTGAAAGTATTTATTTTGCATTAGAGCTTGGAACATGGGGTAAGTTTGTTCTCAATAAATGAGAAGTAATCTACTTTCTGCCTCACCTGTGAACCTAGCCTCTGTTTGAGAGATTTTGTTTGGGATGTTTAGGACTTAGCTTTGAAGTAACCTGGTATGCTTGAACAAAGGAAGCACCTTGCATGCTTATTCTAAGATATGGTAGCTCTGTCTGAGGGGGAGGTGCATACTAACATCTAACTCTTTCTTTGTAATGTCCTAGTCCACCCAATCACAGGATGAATTTAAGCTTGAGGACTTGAAGAAGTTGGAACCAAGTAAGTAGTATCTTTGTATTTTGAGTGACATTTATCATTACAGTGGAAAATAAGACAGTAGCATGAATACTGACTGACCACAATGTGGTTTGACAGTAAGTAATGCTGGTTTTAGGTGGTTCTTCCAAATATCTGTTACCACGTAGACAAAACCTGATGTGTATTAAGGAGTGTAATGTGGGTAATTTCAAAGTATAGTAGGCCTAATGTTTCAGATAATGTATTCATCTTTATTCTCAAATAAGTAATTTTCTGGGTGCTGCTAATTTTTGCACAAAATAGTAATTTAAGCTATCAGTAGTACAGTATATAATCAGCTGGAAAATTTACCCGCACATTTCTTATTTGAACTGAATTTCAACACTTTGTGGTCTTCCTCCTTGCAGCATGAAATTTATTTTTTCTTTTGAAAATATTTAACTTGTGCTCATGGTAGCCAATCACCTGTCACCTACCAGACTAACAAAGTTAAGAGTCAAAGTGAGGATGTGAGTCAGTCTTTGAAGGGTTGTGTGTGATGTTGTTTTTTCCCAACTGCTCCTGGGTCAGTTCTTGGTATGTCAATCCAGAAATAACTTTTTCATGTAGGAAGTATCTATTTATCTGCTACATTTTCCTTCCCGTAACACTGGCTGCTTTGTTCTCAAAGCATCCTTATAATCAGAGCTTCCACATCTAAGCAATATTATCCTGAATGCTAACGTTTCTACAATTCTTGGGGAACAGGAGATGTGGAATAGCTTCCTTCATGCTAGCAAAAGCTGGTTTTATTTTGTTCCTGTCACAGTTGTATCATTAAGGGAGATGTTGGGATAAACATGATGGGTAGGCAAGTGTTTACACTTCGTGAATAAGCTGAATTTCTCTGCACTCCCGTTCTCTAAGTAACCAACATAGGATCCTACAGGGAAACTTGTCAAGAAGCAGGGCATTGAACAGAGCTTTCTAATGTCTCTACCAAAACATAGAGTCCAAATGCTTTTAAACTGTTCCCTGAAAATGGAAAGTGAAGGTAGGTTACAAGACTGCTAGGTCTGTGAAGACTCTAACTCAGGAAAGGGTTTAACTATATGTTGGAAGTATTAGGTCTTTCTCAGTCTACATATTGCATGTCTGGCCTCTGCATCCTCTGATTTGAGATTATTTTGTATAGATACCTCTGCTCTCCATTTACAAAGTATTTAAAATGTAATCATTTAATGACTGTGGATTTTAGACTTCGTTGTGCAAATGCCCTGTGAGTTACTGAATGGTGGAAGAGGGAGAGGAATCAGGTTTTAATTGATCAAACTGTTCTACAAATCAAAAAAAAGTGACTATTGAAGGGTTTAGTCAGATTTTACATTCTGCCAACAGACATAGAGCTTCCCTTGAAATGCTTCCTTTTCTTAAAAGCCAAAATTTCAATTACGGTGCAACAGTCCTGTTGCTTGTCTTGCCCTCCATCAGAGAATTGATTTTTAGCTGTCAAAAAACCTTTTTAACAGTGCAAAGTGCATTCAGCCCATGCCTCATACAACAAGCAACTATATTAAAACTGAGGAAGAGTGCATGGCCATCAGTTTTCAAAGACACCGAGTTATTTTCCTTGGAGGAGGACGAGTGCTTCTACAACAACAATTGAACATTGATGTTCTTAATGCTGCTGTCTGACTTGGATTGTTCTGGCCCCTTTCTGAATTGTGCCTTTGTTTTGTGGTTTTTAAGTATATCTTGAATAGAGTAAATCTTAATCAGGCCAACACCAGCCATTTCATAAAATACACTGTGAAGTGTTTTAATTTGTGTGTTGTCAATTTTCTCTTGCATTCCACCAGAAAAAGCTAAAAAAAATCTGGGCTGGCAATGCAAATAAGCGATTCCTTTGTTAGGTCAAGCCATTCTGTTAGGGTGGAACGAAAACAGCTATTCACACAATTTGGCTTGTTTTAATTACTTTTATGCCTGAAGCTGTCAAAATGGCTGAGAAATTTGGTTTTGGTGTTGTTATAACAACCAGCCCCAGTGCCCCCACCCCACTTTTATTTTTAGTTTTGTGTTGTCAAGTTCTAACTTCCTACTTAAGCTTGCATTTCACGCTGCTTGGAAAGTGAAGCAGTTGGCTAGTTTTGTTTGTTCATAGGATTTGTCACTGAATCTTTTGTGCTAGAGTAATGCTACAGGAGGGTCCATACATACAAATAGTTCTTTTGAGACTACACTGTGTGAAATCATTGCTAACACACTGGCTCTCACAAATCCTTTTCTTGTGAAAGCTTATACCAGTGTTATAATACACATTACAAATGGATAGGCTGGGACATTGCGTGTGCCTGTGTTTGTGTGTGATAGATAATGCTAGCTGCTAAGCGCCTAGTTTCAAACTTAGTGTCTATGTATCATAAGAGAAGTAGATACTGGGTTGTACTGGGGAGCCTGGTATCTGAATTATTTTGTCTTGTCTATTTAAAAAAAGTAAATCAGTACAGGTATCATAGGCTATCACTAACAATCTAAATGGACAGTGGTCTTTACCAAGTTAGTGTGTACTGGTCTTACAGCTCATGTTGATAATTTGTTTTGAAATCTTTCAAGAGAGAGCCAACTGCTGATAAAATCAATGTGATATTGTCTGACGTCACAAAAGAAAAGGCAGCTTCTGCATGAGAGCCTGCAGAACAGTATTTTTAAGATTTCTGTTGGAAGAGTAACATAAATGGAGACCACGATGCTGGGATCTGCCCATTAGTTACACACATGGAGAACTTTCTGTGAATCATGCTTTATGATTTACAGCATTACAGAGTGGAAGTGCTCTTTCTCCCAGAGGAGATGTGTGTTTTTAAAAACAAAACAAAACCCAAAAAAGCCCAAACCAGCCTTTGAAAGCTTGGGTGCCTTAGGCAGTATTGCAATGGAGATTTCTATTTCTTGTAACCTAATGTTTGGGCTTTTTGTTGGTTTTTTTTTTTTTTTTCCTGTGATCTGGTTGTTTTTATTTAAATCATCTGAAACTCACACTTGTGATAGATGTAAAGAGGATCTTCCTTTTCCTCAAAGGATGATTGTTGCATTGCTGTTTTATTGCTTTGCTTTTTCGTAGTGGCTTTGAATAAGTATTTCACCAGGCTGAGTGCTGTAGATCCACTTCTTATCCTGATGATGTTTAAAGGAGCAGTTTCGTAGATTGCCACATTACAACTTTGCAAAACTTTTTGCTGTTGGTGATGAGACAGACTTGAAGGCCTTTTAAAAACCTGATCCGCAGCTTTCTGTGGCAAAAGGCAGGAGATGGTGTTTCCAGCAGTGTTTCTGAGCTAAACGCTCAGCATCACTGCCAGGATGTCCGAAAGCCGCGTACTCCCGTGGGCAGGTCTGGTACCAAGGCCCGTGTGCGTGGCCGCGGCTCTGTGGCAGGGGGGGTGTATGCTCGGCTCTGCCTCCGGGCAGCATCAAGACTTTAGGCGCTGTAAAACTGTTTGCCTTTTTCCTGTACCCGTATCAGTGGAGTATTTTGTGCCCTCTAGTGATGACGGAAATGTATTACTAGAAGGTTTTTTCAGGGGACGTTCATTCACGTAGTGAGAGAAACTGGCTGCTGGGAAGAGAGAGGAATCTAGTGCTTACCAACCTTTGGAAGATGGGAGAACTACTGTCTTTTCTATTGCATCTGTACAACGTGCCTATGATCTGTAAGAGATTTCGCTTTACCGAGATTTTTTCCGCCTGGGGCGGTTTCACTTTCTATCTCCAGTATGATGTAGCTCTCCAAGAGCTGGGGAATTCTGAGAGTGATAAAAATCCCCTTCATTTCCTGAACCTCAGCTGCGCTGGAAGGTGACTGTCTGTTATTAATCAGCTGCTTTTCTGTTGGGAAGTGGCTGTGATTCTTCACCACTGTGTTGAGATCTGCATTACTGATCCCTCAGAGCATAATTCTTTGGAGAGAGAGAGAGAGACTTGCCATCAGTTTTGTCTGTCATCTCTGACTGAAGGCAGCTTAGAGCTTTCTATGTATTTATGTATTGTGTCCAGCTGGAATCAGGTAGTACCTAAACCTCTCAGGTGGTAGTACAGAAATCAGAAAAAAAATCAGACTGAGCAAAGACTGCAAAGATCTTTTGCGTTCTTTATAGTTTCTCTGAGGGATTCTTTATTCATTGTACCGTTCAGATTGTGTCTGGTAAGTTAATGATGGAGCCCATGCTTAGTGATGTGAATGTGAAGACAGACAGGGAAGCTCTCCTACACTGGCTGAATTGTAGTGTGCAGAGGCAGAGGGGCCTGGCAGTGGTTACTTAAACATAACTAGTATTTAAGTACCTCTGGGTATTTGTGTAATCTCAGCATTGTTTTAAAATGGTTTTGTTCTCATTCAGTAGTCCTAAGGGGATATCTCCTGTGCTCTGAGAGGGCTTATTGCAAAGTGAGGCTCAGTGAGAGGACTCAGTTTTAATACCTCCTCTCCCCCTGCCCGGTCTGGGATACTCATTGTCTGGTAGGAGAGTGCCTCTCCCTGCAGGTGTTCTCTTGTAAATTTTTAGGCCCTTTAGCCATCATGAAATGCTTATTTCTTTCACATGCTTTTGGAAGTTTTGCTTTTACTCATAAATGCTTTTGGAAATAACAGCTAAAGTTGTGATTACTAAAACTTGAATAAATTTCCAATACAAATGGCAAAGCCATTCTCCACCAAATGCTGGAGAGTATAGTCAGTGTCTCTGGGGCCTGATGCTCAGATGTTGCACTGTATCTCTTCTGAATTTTGTCAATCTGCCCAGACATCTGAGGGCAGAAAAAAAGAAAAAACAAACGAACAAACAAAAAAACCCCAAAATGCATGCACAAAGAAATAGGAAATCTCAGCTAAGCTATGTGTTACCAGCATGCATGGACTCCTATGGTGGCTGCCTGAATGTGCAGCCTACATGTGTGCTGAATTGTGTCAGTTCTGGAGACTGAAATCTGTTTGGAGCTGATGCCAGTAACAGCATAACCCTCCTTTCAATAGCCACCAAAGATTGCTACCATTACCCTGGGGCCTGTAGCTTTTTCTCACGATGCTTTTGGTTATTGCCATGTTAATCTTCCCTGTCTGTGTAAGTGTGGTGGTGATTACGTACTGGAGTTGCAGTTAGCCTATCTGAATGTTACAGTGATACAGCTCTGATCAGGACTGTACTGGTGTTTAAAATCTGAGAGAGGGGTTGTTGGGTGGTTTTTTTGTATGATCTGATTGTTTTTTAAATATTATTATTTGTGTGTGTGAAGATGCTGTGAGAATGGACATAGCTGTGCAAAGTAGTAGAATTAATGCTTGTTTATGGATATGGATTCTTATTTTTTTCCCATCTCTGCAGTCTTAAAGAATATCCTCACTTATAATAAGGAGTTCCCCTTTGATGTTCAGCCTGTCCCACTCAGGTAAGAGAGAACTGGCTCACTTCAGGTACAGATACTTATCTGAAAGGGAGCATAGCCTGGACCTGATGTATGTCTGAAATACTAGAATTTCAAGAGCCACCTACTTGCTGTACTGCTTTGGGTAAACTGGTTAATAAAAGAACTTACGAACTCTGTTTGTCTAGGTACCACTAAAAATCAAGCCCATGCTTTTGGTAAAATCAGGACTTGGTACATCCCTACATGCCTCAGTATTGCCTCTTGTTTTTAGACTCTGTGTTTTTTATTGGGCTGAGCTCCTGCAATCTCTCAGAGTCTACAGGTACAGGTAGTAGTTAAGAAGTATGAAAAGACATTAAAGCATGTTGCTCCTGCTCTATATTCAGATGCTGACTTGTGAGTTGAAAGCCGGATGATGGATCTTTGGTCTCATTCTTCTTTCTCACATTTTACAGGAAGATTTTAGCACCTGGAGAAGAGGAACACTTGGAGTTTGAGGAGGATGATGAGGAAGGAGGAGCTGGAGCAGGGTCTCCAGACTCTTTTCCTGCTAGAGTTCCAGGTAGGGGCACTAGCCTTGCCATGCCAGTCTATGTAGTATGTGTAAGTTCTGTCTCTGAGAAGCCCCTTTTCCACCTGTGATTTGAAAAGTTTGGGTGAGAAGCAACAGGCTCATGTAAACTCTAATGCTCTATTGGAGAACCACAAAGGTGGCCAGTGGATTTTTTTTTTCTCAGCAAACAATATCTTATCACAAAACAGTTGTGTGGATAACCTGTGAGGGTGGTACCATCTACTTCAAATAATTAGCCTTTATTCCTTGTTCAAACTCAGTATTCTCATTCCATACACTTTCTTAACTGTAGTATGTGAAGTTTCAAATGCATTCAAATGTGAATTGTGGCAATGTTTCTCCTGCAAGGAGCATCACATCCTGCTAGGGATGTGATAAGTTGTTGCTGGTTATTTTTGTGTTGCATAGTCTGGTGAGACAATGGCTTAGACTAAAGCCAAGCTCTGAGAGGATAAAGAAGGGGCTAGCTTTGGTTTTGATAGCTTAAGTCCTTGTCCATGTGAAAGCACTTGTAGAACTGGATATACCTACAGATTCTAGAGAAGGTCTTCCTGTAACTTCCGCTTCTGACAATTTACCAGATAAAGGAGTAGGATGTTCCAACAGAGATTCTTTTGGTTCATTGTGTGGTTTCTTTGCAGAAGAAACAAGTTTCTAGTTTCAGAGCAGGTTGGCAAACTTTCTATTTCAGGAAGGAGATAACAAGTAGGGAAACTAGTACCGGAATTATGGTTGAAAGAGATGGGGTATTGCATTACTTATGCCTGGAGAAAACACATCTCTGTCCTTAGATCTGAGCCAATGCATGCTACTGAACATGATCCCTGCAGGCTATACTGACGTAGATATGCACAGTCTACAGTTGTTTATGCTAAGCTCACAAATAGGCTGTAATATATTGTGATATTTTATTACTGACATTTACTATCTTGATCCTTTTCATTCACCATGATAAATCCATTTATGAAGATGCATTCTGTCTGTCCAAAGTACAGCAGAGAGACCTTGAGTAGCTCTTGGTATGGTGGTGAATCAATAAGGCCGTGACCATTATCATAGTCCCAACGGTTACCTCTGTGCAACCCATTAGAGCTGTATGCATATAGTGGACATAGAAGCTGTGTATATGCTTAAGAAAGAATTTAAGTTGATGATAGACAGATTGAATGGACAGTTAAATCATTTTCAAAGAAATAGGGTAGCCAAACTGGAAAGAGGAGAGGTTTGGGGCATATACCTTCTTACAGAATTATTCCTCAGTAAGACCATGCTTTTAAGAGGAGGTTAGAGCAACTCCTGAACTTACTGATATTTTCCATTGTCATCTAAGTAATAAACTGCATATCTCACTTTTCTGAATTTTTTTTGCATTAAGGTAAACTTCCCCATAGCTACAACAATCTAAACCCCTAAGGTGGTTTTGTACTACTTGAACACAGATCTTGTTTCCCCATTGAATGTAAATCAGTGTGGTATTTCTTGCCTGATTGGAGGTTGGTCTGTTGATCTTTCTCTGGGTGAGGAGGTTTAAACAAAAGCAGTTTGTAGCCTTCTGGGGTGAGCCTTGTAAGTAAAGTGGACTTTCCATATTGAATTGATAGAACTGTGTTGCGCTCCTTCCTTCTATATGCCTTTAATCCATAGTGCATAACTGTATTGTCTAACTGATCATGGTCTTGTCTTCTACATGCATGGCTTCATCGTTATCACATTGCACCATTCATCTAACCCAGGAGCCAATGAAGGTATGATAACCTTTTAGTATATACAGTTATTTCTTTGATTGTATTCATGTAGCTGTGATGTTCTTCATTCAGCTCTTAGTTTCAAGCCTCGAAATACAATCCTTGGTAACATAGTACTAAGCATCTATGTGTTGATCTTAATTTCCCTTCGGTACCAGAAAAAGGGAAAGTTGTATTTGGTGACGCACCTTACATAGCTCTCTAGAAGTCCTACTGTGCTAATAAAGACATTTTGACTTGCAGTGTAGTCAAAGGTAGGTGTAGCTAGATTTTTCTTTAGTGGAATACACATTTTATGGGAAATTTTACACAAAGAGTACTTATGTAGTTAGGCTTCGGTGCTGTGTGGAGCTGAACTGACCAATGGCTTGCTGCCTCTAACAGCAAACGTTTCCTCTCTTTCTCCTGGTTATATACTTCTTTATTCCAGTGCTGTGCTGGCAATGGATTCTTCTGTGAACCATTTCCATTTGTGAACTCAGCAGGAGATTTATCACTTTTTCACTTTTCTCTGAATCGGGGTTTGGGAACAGAGAGACTGAATGCCTGTGTCTTGGTGGGAGTGAGCTGTTGGGTTGGCTCACCTTTATGTCTCTGAAATGCACTTGTAGGAGGACAGTTATTTCATCTGTAGATGCTCCCTTCCCCCTCTGGCAATGATGCCCTGTGGTTGTGTCCGAAATGGCTGGCAGTTTTCTCATGAAAAGCCTCAGTGTGAGCCTGCTGAAGGCTAATGGGCCCAAGCCGTGGTGGCAGACTGGCAGTGCGGTGCCCAGCCCTAGTGAAGTTATACCATAGAGAGGTTACTGTCAGCTAATGGCTCCTATAGGAAATGACTACAGAGGCTTCAGTGAAAGACCTGCTTGGGTGGCTGTGGCTTGCATGAGACAGGTTAGTCAGCTGCTTTAGTTTATTGCTGGCTTGGCTGTTCACCCTGCTGAGGCAGAAAGGAAACTGTATTTCTTGGAGACCATCTGTCTTACTGTTCTCTTACCTGCTGGAAGTGAGCTTGACTTTTTCTGTTCATTGCACCTCTGCAATTTCACACATTCTGGAAAGCATTTTTCAAGAACAGAATAATTTTTGTTAAGCCACTGTTTTCATAATAAATGCCAGTCTGACGCATCTTTCAGGTGATTTTTCTGTCAAGTATCCCATTGCTTAGTCCCTTTGAGTGATGGACAGGAAAACTGAAAGTTACAGTTTTTCTTGGCTCTTGGGGGGCATGCTGCTTTTAGGAGACAACTGAAAGATGGCAGAGCAAAGTTTTGTGCCAAAGAGAAGACGGGCTTGCTTCTACCTTCATTTAGATTGAAATAAGAACGCTGCCTTTGAACTTCTGTTCAAAGAGACAGCAAGATTAACTAAAGCACGTATGCTGCTTTGCAGAAATAGGTGTTCTCTCGTAATTTGCTTTTTAATGTTTCTCATACTATAGTCAGAAGTCGGTCCCATTACTTCAGAATGGTGGGTAGAATTCTGCCGTGATACATTGTGAAGTGTCTGCAGATGCAGTACCTTGGAGGTCATGATTCTGAAAGAGGGACTGAGTGTGGGAATGCTCATGAAATCTTGCTGAAGCTGTGGCTCTAGTTCTAAGAGCAGAATACATGGTCCCCTGCTGCAAAGCCAGTCTCTCTAATAGCACAAAAACTCCTTGGTTCTCCAGCTCCTCAAGCAGATCAAAAGGAAAAAAAGTATCAAGGAAAACCCATGTTGGACTTGCCAAAGGAAACTATTACTTTGTTAGATCTCAAGACTTGGGATAACTTTTTTAATTAGGAAACCAAAACTTTAAATCAAGCTTGCTCATGAGTCTAAGGATTTTCTGTCTTGGTGTTTATTCATCTAATACTGGAGAGAGGCTTGAAGCCTGCTAGTTTTTGCTAAAATCAGCATGGAGAAACCTATTCCATTGTTGATGACAGAATCTCATGGCTTTTAGTGAGTTTGAACAGTTTAGATTTCTTGCCAGCTGCATTGTCTTCCTCAGCACTGTGAGGATTCATTTACGCTGACCATGAAGTTTTGATGCTAAATGTTCTTGATACAGAGCTGGGAACTGCTTCCTTAAGGCAGAAGGGAATGTGTGTGTGTGTAAACACTTTTTTTTTTTTTTTTTTTTTTTTTCCCCCCTTTAAGTAGAGGCCATTAGAACTTAGATAAGGAAGAATCTCTTTTCTGGTTCCCTTATGTCCAGTGGGATTTGCAACAATGCCATTTTCCTCCTTATTCTCCCAGTCTAAATCTTCAACATGAAGCCAAGCCATGTTCAATGGGGTGGGACTCCTGATTAAGTGTCTGAACTTCCTGTAACTGCAGATTGAATCCAGCTTCCCAAATTTAATCCTTAAAAATTATATAAATGAGTTCCACCAATGAGTTATTCTGCATGAGAGCAAGAAAGAACACTTTGAACAAAGTTCCTCTTTGTTCTTATAAAAAACTGATGCCATGAATTCATTTGACTTGAGGCAGTTCTAGGTTGGGTTGGTTTTTTTTTGTGTGTGGGCTTTGAAATCCGTCAAATGATGTTGTGTGTTTGCTGTAAGGTGACACAAAAAGTTAATAATATGCTTTATTCTTTTCAGGTACTTTATTACCCAGATTGCCATCTGAACCCGGGATGACATTACTCACAATCAACATAGAGAAAATTGGTCTGAAAGATGCTGGGCAGTGCATTGATCCTTACATCACAGTCAGTGTAAAGGGTAATGATTTCTGTTCCTGGCTCCTTATTTCTAGTTTGGAGAGAGTGCATTTTCTGAAAGCTGTATTGATTTTTCAACCTGCTGGGAAAAATATTTGTTGGTACTTGCATTTTCTGTTGTGGACTTAAGGCTTCTGCTTTAATCAAGGGTGAAAAATTCTCTATTTGAGAGATACTGGGAGGTGAATCACTGCAGGAGACGTGCTTATCTGTGCGCTCCCAGGGTGCCTTCCCCATGCTGGGAGCTGAGTATCAGTGACTTGGCAGACTGTACTTCTCTACTCCATCTTCTTCAGCTGACTTAAGTATAGATCTGTCTGGACTGCTTGTACTCCCCAACACGTATTGGTCTCTGGGCTTTCTGGAGATGGTGAACCACAGCCCGCTGACTCTATTCTTGCCCTGTCATTAACCTAATTTTTTAGTAAAACAAAGATCATCTTACCAAGGCTTAAGGTTTAGAGGAATGGCTATGAAGCTGGGAAGAAAAGCTTGCAAGTGGAATAAAATATGTTTTAGCCTTGGCAGTGAAATGTTTTGGCCAAAGCCTGGTGGGCCGACAGCCTCCCCTTGGAGAACCTCCATGAACCTGGAAGAACCTCTGTCTCTGTTAGTCCAGGACAGGCAACATGAGGATTTCTCTCTGTTTCAGATGACAACATGGTTGATGTCTTTTGCTTGAGCCTGAGATTTTTGGCATTCAGACTCTTTCTAGTGGGAGCATCTGCCTCTTCCCCATTTCTTAGCAGGAAGCCCCTGTAGTTAGAATTGCTTGCCCCTTAACCTGCCCTGCTTGACTTCTCCTTATCTTTACAGTCTTTTGAGGTATATGATTTTTTTGTTTATCATATAAAAATGTGTAGCTGAGCCAACAGCCTCTAGTTATTTTCAGTTGTGATAGTGAGCTTGTAAGTGTCCTCTTTAGATGTGCTATTGAATACCAAACGTAGGGACAAAATACTTGTTAGATATGTGATCAGGTGTTTCCTCCACCAGACAAGTTCTTTGGCAGAAGTAAGGGTGACACAGTATTGAATGTCACTTGAATCCCAGTGATGTTCTGAAGTGTTACCTGCCAAAATATATAGCTAGAAAGCTTTATCTAATCCTGCTTCCTGTGATGATTTTTTCAACGGTGAAACCTTCCACTTCTCTCTAGACCTTTGAGGAGTTCACTTGGTTTGGGTGGAAGCTGAAGCATGACTCTTGCCTTCCCCAGCTGATACAACTGTCTTTTTGTGGTTTCAGTCTTGGAAACATGCAGTACTTTTTTGTTTATGGTGTTGTCTTAGGTTTGCAGCATTATTTTTAGATTGTGTAACTATTCTTTGGGCTCTATTTCTTTTAGTCACTTGTGGATCTTTTTGTCTCTAGTGTGGCAGAAAGCTGAGGGATGGGTGACCTCAGTGGTGGGGCTAGCTGGATGGATGTGGGTTTAATCAAATTTAATTCTTTAATGCTGAGTTTCTCTTGGCCAACAGTAAAATACCAGCCCTGATGGGATCCTGGAACTTATCAGAACTTGTAAAGCAAACATTCGTTATTCCTTGCCACTGAAGTGTTTGTCTTTCTTAACTTATTACGTATTGTTAAAACTGTTGCTTGCCTTCAGAGCTAGCTCTCATTTCCTTTCTGGAGCTAAGGGATACTCTATATCACTAGGCTTACTTTCCCAACAAGTCTTTCTGTTAACACGTGGCTCTCTATTTGCAAGCTCCTATAAACGGTGGCTGCCAAGTAACAATGTAGAAAATAGGATCAAAAAGTGTGTGCGTGTGGGCAGGCTATCGCCTAGTCTGCTAATGGTGACTTTTTATACTTTATTTCTCAAGATTTTTGGTGAGGAAAAGTAACTCTGAGAAGTCATTTTGCCCCTATTAGGAGTCTGAAGATGCTTAGTAGCTCTTTTCCTTGGTTCTATACCAGGCTGCTCTTCTGCAGGTTTGGGGAGAGGTTTGTTCCTGATGTAACATTGGTGGTCCCAGCCCGCTCCCTGGATGAAGTGCATCAGTGGTGCTCCAGGGCCCCAGCCTTGTGCCTGTACCCCAGGCACAGTGCAGTGCTCTGTACTTGTAAGCTTGGCCACGTCGTTGTCAACTTTGCTCCACCTGAGGGAAAGGGATCACTAATGAGAGGAGAAGGAGTAAGAGGACAAATGTACTCGTGTAAACAGTGGAGGCTTAGTGAGAAACAATATTGTCTGTGGTGGCTGTACCTGAGCAGCACAACTGGTGGCTGGTGCTGAGAGCTGGAGTCCAACCTGTGGCCCCACCATGCCTCTGCCTGTGGAAAACCCAAGGGGAATAATGCACGTTGGGTCTAGGCAGCAAAGCAGGGCATATACCGCTTGTATAAGCTGTGCCCTGCAGACCCTGTGTGGAGGGCAGCCTTTGGTGCATATCCCGTTCTGCCAGTTCAGCTGAAGTGCTGAAGCCCTGCTGGAGTCCCGCTTGCAGAGGGAATGGAATCCTTCGCTGGCTGCAGAAAGAAATGCGCTCTTAAAAATAGAGAGGGATAATTCAAAATTTTCATCTTAAGAATTGTCAGAACTTCACCTGCTTTCATGTTGCAATCAACAAGAAAATTCACTGACTGTGAAGGGGCATGATTGCCCCTTTTTTTAAGTTTAGGGGGAAAATCCAGGTGTGCATTAACTTCTTGTGGCAGTATTAGGAGTGATTCGTAAACATCTTAAAGCAGGACCTTAAAGTCTGAGAATCTTCTGCCATTCTCATGCTGTTTCTTTCCTCCAGATTTGAATGGGATAGATCTGACTCCTGTGCAAGATACTCCTGTGGCTTTGAGGAAGGAGGACACGTATGTCCATTTTAATGTGGACATCGAGATTCAGAAACACATTGAAAAACTAACAAAAGGTAGGTAGTATCAAAGACCTGAAACAGGGCCCAGGAGCTTTGAAAGTGTAGACACTAGGCTGCTCCTGATCTAATAAACAGGCCGTGCCTGAGCTGCTGCTGCTGCAGGGCTCAAGATCCAGACGAGGATAAAAATAGACCTTTGCATCCTGTCTCTTTCAAATCAGTCATTGCGATGACTTGCAGACAAGGGAGGAATGAAAAGAGATAAAAATGCAGCAGTCTATTCTACTACACAGGTATTGAGCTGCCTTATCACCTTCTTAGTCACTGGACAAACTGTTACCTGGATATGAGTAATTGAGTGAAGAGTACAAACTCTTGTGAGTTTGATGAGCATTGTAAGAACATGGTATAGCTTTTGAGTAAATAACAGAAGTGTTGGAGATAATTCCTTCCAATGTATGTAGAGCATCTTAATGGTAGATAAGTTTTCAGATAACTATTAGCCATAATTGCTAACTTTTCTATTAAACCATTTTCTACCCTAGGTGCAGCTATTTTCTTTGAATTCAAACACTACAAGCCTAAGAAAAGGTTTACTAGCACCAAGTGCTTTGCTTTCATGGAGATGGATGAAATTAAACCTGGGGCGATTGTTATAGAACTGTAAGTGATTTGCAATTATAGCTGCCAATGACAGAGGAAATTAACTAGGCTTCAGTTACAATGTGTGGCTTGTTGCATCAAGGAAGGTTTCTTGGACTCATTAGGTGGACTTTGATAAGGAATATCCTATTTTTAATAAAGAAGGGAAGATAAAATGCTTGTAGGCAAATAAACTGGCTAGAGACCCTTCTCAAAAACTAGACTATTTCCAGATAGAATGCTGGTGCTTGTTAACTAAATTTTGTGTGAAGTTAACAAATTCTGTATGGGAGAGTTTAATTTTGACCTTAGCTTGAGTATCAGAACAGCCGTATTAAAAAAAAAAAAACAAAAAAACAACCCCAAAACAACTCACACAATCTTTTGGTACGGAACTTCTGTAAAGGAAATCTGATCTGAGACATGGGATACTGATTTGCAATTGAATTTTGTGAACATTTCAAAGCATTGTTGGGTGGTTGTGGTTTTTTTCCTGCCCTAAGTATACAAAGAAATAGATTAGCCAGTTATGCTGCTGTGGTTATGATGTGCATCCTACCCTTACTGTGTGGCTGAAGGTCTGAGTGAGGTTTTTTGAGGGCTTTTTTCAGGAAGAGGGTGAACCTTGCAATTCTGGGCATCTCTAGGAAGAGTGCTTAGTCAGTGCTAGCTGGAATACTTCTGAAGTACTGAGTAACTGATACTGCATCTCCTACAATCCAGCGTATTATATTGGGAATTCTCCCTACAAAAACCTTACATTCATTTAAAAATTGAAATCTTTGTATTGTTAAAATAATAATCCTGAGAAAATCCTGGTTTTAGTTTCTTCCTGTAAATCTACTTGTTGTTGCTTCCAGGAAGTCTTGTCAGATGTATTCAAAAGATTATGGTAATAAGATCTGTACAGGACAAGCTTTCTAATATGCTTTCATCTTCCCACGCAGCCATTAGCACTTAGATTAACTTACTTTCTTGTGGTTACAGGTACAAAAAACCCACTGACTTTAAAAGGAAGAAATTGCAACTGTTGACCAAGAAACCACTTTACCTTCACCTCCATCAAACATTGCACAAGGAATGACCCTAGTTGTGAGACTTCTGTGAACTGAACCGCAAGTCATGGTAGCTCTGTGTAGTAGCCTTCGAGGGGCAGGAAAACGACTGTATTCATGCCAGTAGGTCAGACGGGACCATCACACACTGCACAGCACTACTTCAGGGTCAGAGGCAAGCCTACCATTCAAGTGCAAGATTTTTTCAGTACCTTCCAGATACAGGTTTTTCTGAGAGCCCTGAAATACGTTGACTGCTTTTCCTATTTTTGCTGTTCATCACTTTTTATCTTAACCGTTATTATCCTTTTGCCTCAAACTCCACCCAAGGATGGAGACTGCCCCTTTGCCAAACCTGTAGCAATAAAGACGTGGCAGGCCTACTAACTGTTTACACTTGCTGTGCTATTGTAGTTCCTCTCATCTGCATTTCGGAGTCCTCTGTAGCAGGCTGGGTGGCAGAAGACCGGGAGAAAGACAAGGTTGGGTGGGAAGGAGCTTGAGGTACTGCAAGTGACTTAAAGTGAGGGAGAGGAGGATGCTGGGTCAAGTGGGGTGGCCACAGAAGAGCTCCTCAGTCAGCTGTTGTGCTTTGGTCAGGCCAGGAGGAGGACAACTGCAGATGAGAACACTGAACTATGATTTTAAAACAAACAGCCTTGCCTGATCCACTCCTACTGAGTTCTGGATACATGCTACAATCCTTTAAATCACCATTACTCCCTAATAGATCTAATTTTTCTGAATCTTGCCACAGAGTGATTTGCAAAGGCGGGTGGGGGATGGAGAGAGGCTTTCTCCAGGGATTCATCCGTGTGGTGGTGGATGTTTTGCCATGTCAGTGACAGCAGGACAGGCCCCTCAGTGTTCAAGCGTCAATTTTCCAGAGCTTTTGGTAAAGTAGATCTGGCTGCAGGTTGACCCACCTTTTACATGAAACTGCTGTTCTTATGGAAACTGATTGTATGCAGTTTTCTGCATATTTTGTGCAAGTCTGGAAACTTCCTCTAAAAATTACCTTTTTATGTAAGTAGATAGGATTATCATTTATTTTCTATATTTTTGATTTGGTGTGTAATAAGCTGCAGGACATTGGCTTATTATGACACACTTACATTCACCTTTTGACCTAATAAAGGGACAGAAGTAGAACCCAGTCAAATCTTTCATATATTTGCGTGGATATTTAATACAATACTTTAAGGTTTGATATACTTCTTGCATATCTAACTAGTGCCTAAATACTCTGCTATGCTAACAAAAGACCCAGCTCCCAAAATAATGTCAAATACTAGGTTTATTTTAAACAGTCTGGATGCAGATGTATTGCCAGTTCCTCTTTTCTGTCATGTAACCCCAAGATGTTACGTTATGCTTTAATGGAAGGGATGTTACTTTTCCTCATGATATTTATCTACAGGCCTGTGTTCAGCATTTTTGGCTTTACCATATTGATTAGGATAAAAAGCTATATTTGAATGTCCTAATCTTCTTGCCTTCCCTCTGTTCTGGTATAACTAGGGATGACATTATTTAGGTATTACGAAAAAAGTCAGCAACACTTCCTCAAATTCCACTACTGAGGGGTGGGGGGGGAGGGAAGTGCAATTGAATTTTCCTCTTTATGGGTCTTTACAATGCCCCAGTGGTATTACATCTGATACATTGAATATCAAGCGCTGAAGAGATACCCTATGAGTTACAGAAATTCTGGATTGCAGCATTCTGGATACCTGAATAAAAGGAGGATGCGTACATTCTTAAATAAAAATCATCCTTTGAACGCTGCAAATGGATGGAGCAACCATTAATCTATGGCTGCAGGTAAATCCCAGCTTGGTTGATAGCTGCATTACCTACCCATGGTCCCCAGCTGGCTCAGGTCTCTTTCTGACCTTCTAAGAATCTGTAGCACCAAGTGTCCCTGCAACATGTACAGCCCCTCTTGCTCAGCAAGGGACGATGCTGGGGCTCTGCCACCCCCTGTGTCTGCTGGCGTCGCTCACGGCCTGGTGAAAGTACTGCTGTCAGTTGTGTGTGTGTGTCCCCCTTGTCCCATGACTGACAGCACCCACCCCTTCCTCCTGCTGCTGCTCCCAGAGGGCGATTCCATCCTGCTTTAAGTTGTTAATGGTAGCTGGGGTGGGCAAGGGAGGAGACACTGACCATCACAGAGCTTGGTGTTGGGGAAGGAAAGATCCTGAATGTGGAGAACCCGACTTTCAAACACAAGTGTCCAATGTGTGCATCATTAGCCACTACACAATTTGAACACTTTCACTTGAATTACAAACCCATTGTTTCAGCTGCTTACCTTGACTCTTCTCCAGCTTGTAGATGTCTGTATTAACTCCAGTTATATGAAATGTCAACTTTGAAGTATTTTTGTTAAATACACAGTAGAGCTTTGTATTTAACTAATTGTGAATTAATGTCTGTAGAGTGTGAAATACCATTTTTAAAGTTGCTTCTAGCCTTTGTGTTTTTTCTGTGAGCTGTCTTTCACTGAAAGGACTACTTGTCCCCACAACACAAGCTCTTGTATTGTTTTATGCTTTAGTGATGTTCTATCTTGTCTTTCATTTTAAATCTAAAGCTTAATACTTGTACTGTAAGAATGTAATACCTAGATGGCAAGTTTAATGGCTGCTTGTACTCCGGCAGTAAAGCTGTAATGGCCTTTCAGTAGGGTTTTTTATTATTCCTAGTTGTTTTACCTTTTTCTTCCCCAAGGCTTACTTTTGTACAGAGCGCTTCTGAAAAACCTTAGTGTCTAGGTAAGCCAAATACTACCTACTCACACTTGTAGGAACACATTCAGGGACTTCCTTGAACATCTACAAGTGTAGGGTGTGTTTTTAAAGCTATCCCGTGTTCTGCATAAGCAAACTGATTTAAAGCAGTACTTGTTAATAAGGTTTATGTACACCCTCTCTGCTTTATAGAAAACTTTTTTTTTTTAATGTGAGTGAGTGAAAAAGACTATAAACTACAGCCTTACTACTACAGAAGCCGAGACAGTCTTAAATACTAAGATGAAAACAGGTCTCAAACCTTGCTTAATGCTGCAAGCCAGTCTTGAAATCAGAAAGCAATTATGAAATTTCTTAGTTTCTAGACTCCTGGAGTGATCACCTGTATTTCCAAACAAACTGCACAACTTCATAAAGGTTTCCATCTCTGTACTGCCCTTCAGTCAAGGAGGGCTGTCCCCCCATTGTCCTCAGCACGTGAAGCAAGTCCATAACATGCCAGACTAGTTCAGCATGAGGGTAACAGAGTCTTTAATCTTGCAGCAGCAGCAGCAGTTATTCAGCCTTGATTCAGTTCTTCTACAGCTGTGTCCAAGTTGCATTCTCTGGTTAAATTACTGAACCAATGTCCTTTCTGAACAAAAAAATGGCACTGAAACAAAGCCTTCAGGGTTTAGCAAAAGAAATTTTGCTTTTTATTGTAACTTTCCTTTGAATACAGTGTCATTTGTGTGTCTGATCTCTGACCAGACAGCTTTTTTAAAAAAAAAACAAAAAACAAACACACCTTACAGTCCTCATGTAAACCCTTGGCCTACAATAATTGCAGCTTAATGATGTGATGGAGAAGGCAGGTAGGATAGCATTTTACTTAAAAATTATTTCCACAGGAAATGATTTGATTTACATTTTTCACGAAATTAGTTCATTCACCAACTGGTTACAGAGGCTACATTGAATTAAAACTAGCCACACAGGTACTTCCTTTCTATTGCACGTTTAGAGTAGCTTCAAGTCCATCACAAAAAGGTTCTTGCAGCCCAAGAGGATGGATGAGTTTAAGGTGATCAAATGCACATAAGATGTCTGTAGCAATTGGATAAAAATTAATCCCGCAAAAGCTGAAATATACTGAAATGAGACAAATGGCTTCAAAGAGAGAGCCATTTCCTAAAATCCTGACCACAGGAAGTGCGCTAGAGTCCATTCCGCTGAGCTGCTGACCAGACCCTGCAGTTAGGGTTTCTGCGCAGGGGGTTGTGTGTAGTCCTTTGGGCCTGCCGGTGGTGGTGGGCCAGCAGGGTAGTCTCTAGGTCCCGATGGAGGCAAGTCTCTGTTAGGAGAAGGCGTATAGTCTCTTGAACCAGGTGGGGGTAGCCGTGGGCCTGGAGGATAATCTCGTGGCCCAGGAGGACCTAGGGGTCGAAAAGGAGGGTGCCCACGTCCATAGCCTCTTGGATCTGGAGGAGGCGGTAGTGGGCCAGGAGGCAGATCTCTCATTCCTAGGGGTGGGCCAGGTAAGAAATCTCTTGCAGCAGGAGGTGGCAAGGGAGCACCACGAACTAGAAGGAAAGGAAAACATGGAGTTAAATGAAATCTTGCTTTAACTTAAACGGTGAAGCTCCTGACTCATTCCTCATTTCTTCACTGTTTAGAGCAGCTCTAGGGTGGATCACTGTCACATGCAGACTTCCCAGGCCATGAATTATATTCTAGTGACTTTTGGCTCCTGGTTTCCATTTTAGACTAAACAAGGAAAAACACCTCCTTAATACCTTGACATTAAGGAGGCTTGAAAAAACCCGCCTGTCCAAGCTTACTGAGCAAGACAGCTAGACCCCAAGAAGCACGGGGAAGCTGTGTGCTAATGGATGGCAGATGGCAGTTCTGCAGTAGGCTTCCGAAAAGCATGGTAGGAAAAGTTAGGTTTCAGCACACGGCAATGCAACTGTACCTAGGGGCACAGGAAGAGGTCGAGGCCCAAAGTGCCCACGGAGAGGAGCTGGCGGCGGTCCGTAGCGAACAGGTGGTGGAGGCGGAGGTCCCATCACTGGGGAGGTCATGATGGGTGTCCCAGGGAAAGAAGGTGGGCCTTTGGGACTAGCATTAGCCTGTGCAAGATTAGGTTACACTTCAGTGTGTTATGCGCTGCACCAGAGAAGTATTGACACTGCTGAACACCACAACCACTCACCAAGAGGTGGAAGGGGGGTGGGAAAGAAGAAGAGAAAAAAACCCACACCCCAAAACACATTAACCAAGTAGAAAAATAGGGAGAGTTACTGCACCATCATTGTCCCTTCACCCAGAACACTGCCTGCACTACCTAGGAGTGAGTGCTTCATGTACCTTCTGAGATAACAAGTTTTCTTTAGCTAAAGCTGTACTAAAGAAAAGTTCAATCCCTTCTGAAGTGTCCTCAGTGGACATCCCTTTGGTAAAGGGCCTGGCACCCTGAATTACACACGGAATTGTGCTTAAATACCACAGGTAAGTCAGCTTGTTAGGATTATTGTTGTGTGTTTGCCTATAGTCCTTAACACGAAAGATCTCATTTTCTCAATTCTGTAAGAACCAGACAGCAACTGTTCATTGTTAGAGAAACCTTCTAAGACAGAGGTATAAGCTCTCAGTTAGTTTTGCAGAGCATTTTGTTATTTCGCAGTTCAGAACACCAAGCCTGTTATTCCTCTCCATCAAAGCAGAGTAACACCATATTCAGCCTCTGAATACTCACTGTAGCTGGTTCAATAGATGAAGGTGAATCAGTAGTTACACAGGGGGCTTCAGACTCTTTGGGAGAGGGTTGCTTTTTTTTTTGGACAGCAAATAAGGATAGTGACAGGATATAGACAAGACAGAACATGATACAGTTAAAGCAGCTGCAGGAAGTACAGTGAATCATGTATTAGAAACGCTGCCTGAAGGTTTGGGTTTTTTCAGCTTACCACTCCATCCATTGCTGTGGAAGGGGAGGAGGTTCTCGGCCCACTACTGATCAGGGATGCTACAGCAGGCCCGAGATCTGTAAAGAGAGCCACAAATGCATGTCTTAGCATGGTTAGGATAAGAAACATGGTTTTTAAATTACATAAGTGAATAAGTTGCAGTGGGTTGCAGGCCACATAACTTACCAGGAACAGACATCCTTCCAGGTAACTCTGGTGGCCTTCGTGGAACAGGGGGACCATCTACCACTGTACCTTAAGGGAAACAAGAACCCCAGAGATCCTAATCAACACATGACTGAGCTATTTCTACTTAAAAAAAAAAAAAACAAAAAACAAAAAAACCAAAACCAAAACCCCCCTACCCCAAAACCAAAAAACCCAACCCACAAACACACACCAACCACTCATCTATGTATTAATAAAGCAGATATCAATACTTAACACTATCCCTAGAACCAAGATCAGACCTTAGCGCTCTTGGTTTTGTAGCGTAAGAGGTAGTTACTACAGAAGGAAAGCTTCACTGCTTACCAAATTCACCTCTGGAGCCTTCCCTTCGAGGAGCAGAAAGGGGCCGAGCAGGCACTTCTATCATCTGTGTGGGTGATGGATTTCCTCCACTCACAGGTGATGGGCCGAAAGAGCCATCTCTACTTAAGGGCCCTATGCCAAAGAAGAAAAAAACCACTCAATTTACTTTTCCACAATTTATCATCGCTTTTTTTTTTTTTTTTTTTTTTTAGGATATACTGACTCAAAGACCAAAGTTTTGGGAGAAACAGCAGCTTTTACCTCGTCGCGGTGGGACTTGGCGATCAGGTCTGCCTGGAGTTGGCTTTACAATTAATGGTCTTTGAAGCATGACGATTTTTTGATTTACTTCTATTAATCTAATTTTAAAAAATAAAGGTTTTTTTATTATTCAATTAATACATGTGAGTTATATTTGTTATAATGTAACAAGGCAAACTGCATTGTAAAATGTTACAGCTTTCACCAAGAAATCTTATTTTAACCACCAAAATGGTTTAATAGTAGTTTAAAATTAGTAATTCAAATGCACACTGCACATTCTGAGCAAGCAGGCTAACTAAGCACCTTGCACTGTTTAAGCACCTTCTCTCCCAAGCAACACACAGCATGTTTAAAGAGCAATAAAAATGGTCTGTACTGTACTTACTTCTGTCTCAGGTTGGCTGCTTCTCTTTTTTCTTCAGCCAGAGCTCTCTCAGCAGAGCGGGCAATAAGCTATTAGGAAAAATTTTGCCAACTGCATTAACTGCACCAACCTGAAGTCAAATACAAACTGTTTGCATCAAAAAAAGGAAGAACATTCTTACCCAATTGTCATGTGCCTTTTTCTCATGAGCAGCAATCTGAGAACAGAAACATCTTGTTTATTTTGTCCAACTACTAGTATTTCCAATAACTCTCTACAGAGCATTGGAATGATGCAGTAAAAGGTGACACAATAACCAGCAAGCAGGACGTTTACCTGGTTTTTGTAAGATCTCTCTGTTTTTTGCAATTCTTCCTCCATATCTTGGATCCTTTGCCTGTACAAAAGGAAAAGAGGGGAAGGAGAGAGGTTTAAATGAATTTTCTTGAATAGCTGAAATAAAGGAAAACAACAGCCTTCAGAAACTGAAGTTACTTGTAAACTTTCACTTCTTCAATGGCCAGCACAGCTTTTTCATCTGCAGCAGACAATTTCTGCTCCTTCTCCTGACGCTCATACTCTTCCTGGGTTAGTTTTCTGTATAGGAGAAGAAAAAAAAAAAACCCAAACAAAACCACCATATATTCCACCATTCTATATCTACTACAACTCAAAATCAGGGTATTCCCCTGCTAACAACAGTGATACAGAATCTGTAATAACAAAGAGACAGAAATACTGTCTTTTGAAACCAACAGACAAGCCCTTTGAGTGTAAAACCTGAAAATTAAGGACACAGAGTTGACTGGAAAGTTCTGTCAGCATCTAAAGATTTGTCAGAATGTAACAGTTGCAGACAGTTCATCTCTTCAGATCCTGTAGTCTACTTACTAATTCTACAGATGGTAATCCAGATTTACAAAGGTACAAACAAGGAAATATGCAGAACTGACATCTAACCAAGGGAAATGAAGAAATGAATATGTAGTGAAAAAGGGGGGAACTTAGGGCCCAGTTCACAAACACATTCAATAGTCATCAACCATGTGGAAAGAAGCCTTTTTTTTTTTTTTTTTTTAAGTATTCTCCATACCAATTTCTTACATAATCAATTTCCACAGTCCCTTTATAACCTCATGGTTCACTAATTTTTTTTATTTTTGACATTCTTCTGGAAGTATTTAAAAGGTCCATAATGTGTTCCTAACTTACAAGAGCTTTCCCACAAAACTGGAACCATTGAACTGGTAGTAAGTTAACTGCTAATAGCCAGTTCAACATAATCCACTTCCATGACTACATGTGGAAACAGTTTTCCAGAAAAAAAAAAAAATGCAGGAAGTCCTTCACTCTAATCAAGAAGTACTAACAGGCAGTGTAAGTTCGTAAAAGTTTTAGAAGGAAGAGAAATCCTTCAGAGAGGTCAAGAGGGAGTTTTCCTTGAAAGGTGTGCTATCCTTCACCTCTCCGTTATGTGTTTACTACACCTGGATCCTGAAGTCATGAGGTCAGGCAGTTTCACTACTTAAGTGCTGTATAGCCTCAATTCCTTAGCTTGTTCCAATCCTGTGCTTCACCCAAAAAACCACACTTGAACCTTAGAACTTTCAACTGCTTCTCCACCACAATTTCAGCTTTCCTACAGAATTTAGCTGAAAATGTCCCTGAATCCTATCTCAAATTTCCCCCACAAAACTGAGATGGTATTACAGACATTTCAGTAAGTAAGCAAGCGAGGAATGAACACAGATAGGCAACTAGTTCTTCACTACTAGCAATTCATTCATCTCAGCTGCCACCATGAACTCAGCCTCAATTTAGCCCTTTGAGAATGCAAAAAGCTCACAAGGCTAAATACTAAGTTTCTACATTATGAGAAGTAGAGTCACTGAGCTGAGATCAGAGTAACTGACACAAATCTTAATGGCCACTATATTCTCCTTGACAATTTCTGGACAATGTAACAGAACAACCAGAGAATTTGCAGACCAAGCCACCCATCTCCCCTCTCCAAAAGTTGTTTGTTTGTTTTTTTAATTGTAGAAGGCAATATCGTGTGTGCAAAGTGACAGTCTTTTTGGAATCTCTTGAATGGTGGAAAAAGTAAAAAAGGGGTACTAGCTTCAACCATACTGAAACGGTAGTCATCACCTTTCATTCCAAATACAACTTCAAGTTATTTGATCCTTCTGAGCAAAGAGCATTTGGATGGTGCCTATGATATAATATGCTATGTTGTGGAAGAGTAATGCAAGGCTTACTTCTGGAGTGCCATCTCTTTCTGCTGGTAAAGTTCACCAAGAATCTCCACTTTCTGCTGTAGTGTTTTGCATTCATTTTCCAGTCGAGCTTTGGCTGACTGGAGCGAACAGGAGTCATGTTCTAATTTTTTTATTTGCTCTGTTGGAGAAGCAAAGGTAGGTGAGGAAGTTGAAGGAAGTTGCAACAAGAACCGTTATGCCACTTAAACACTATTTCTTTTTAAACCACAAACAGCATTTCATCCTAAGCAATTCTTTTGCTAAGCCTACCTTCCAGCTCATGTCTTGCTGATACTTCATCACTCAGTTTGGATTGCAAAAGATTTCTGTCTTCTTCAACTATGGATAACATAGTTTTTACCTGAAAAGAGGAGCAAAAAGTTTATGATCTTAGGTGTACCAGTAATGTGGCTGCATTTATTAGATATCTTGTGCAGCATACCCTGGAGACATCCATCATCTGCTTAATCTGAGTCTTCATCTTCTCACTCTCATTATCTAGAAGAGAAAAATATATTTGTTTTCCCTGTTTCTTAACACCCAATTCCCTGGACTCTACAGCTGTTAAAAATAACACTCTCTACACTTTAACCTGGGATAGATCTCCTTACATGGTCAGAAAAGAAAAAAAAAAAAGAGAGGTGGAGAACAAAGCACAATAGCAATTCCATAACCAGCACAACAGAACTATTAGATTTATTCAAAA